GGAGGGTGTACCAAAATAATCTCCAAGAAAGGGCGTAATGGAGGGCTGGAGCCATGAGCCAGTGACTAGAGTTTGGAGCACTCTTGGAAAGACCCAGGTCAGGTTTCCAGCACCCACATCAGGTGGTTCACAACTGCCTGGAATTCAAGCTCCAGGAGATCCCGGACATCTGATTCTGACTTCTTTGGGAGAGGGAATATGAGAATATTTAAAATAATAAAAATAAATCTTTAAGAAAAGAAAAAGAGCTACATTGCTTTGTCCCAGGAGCTGCTTGGCCACCTGGGCGGAGTGTAGGCAGCTTCTCCGGCACGTCAGTCAGAGATGCCCATGGGAACAAAGCAAGACCAGAGAGGGCTTTCCAGACCTTGATATACCAAGGAGACCACCTCCAGAGATAGGAAGCGTTTGCTCTGCTTGTGTGAAATGGACCAAAGGCAGCCTGGGTCCATTCTGGGTGACTACAAGTCCAGGCATCAGGACTCTTCAGTAACAGCAGCCGACACTTGAGAGAGGTGGAGGAGAGTGACTTGTTGGATCCTGTGTCCAGACTCCTTTTCTAATGTATAGATTCAGGGATTGGAGATCTTTTTATTTTATGTGTATTTATTTTCTGTTTGCCTCCATGTATGGTACAGCCCAGGCTGGCTTTGAACTCCTCATCTTCCTGCTTCTATCTGCCCAGGAATCACAGGGGTGCACTGTCACACCTAGCTTCCCTACTCTGGGCAAGAAATTTACTCCTGATCTTTTTCTCTCTGAAATGCTTGCAGGCATGCCCTCTCAAACTTCAAACTTGGTACATTTTCATGTGGATGCCATTCTTTCAAATCTGTTCTGTCTCTGTAGGATATATCCATCCATTCCTAAAATGAGGTTTTGAATTCCCCCCATCTTTTTAGTTTTGCTTTTGAGACAGTCCTCGAGTGTAGTGCAGGCTAGCCTTGGACTTGAGATCCACCTGCTCAGCTCAAGTTCTGGGATTATAAGCATACTGTCATACCCAGCTTCGTTGTCTCCCTCTTTTGAGGCAGGGTCTCAACTTTGCAGCCCTGGCTAGCCTGGCTAGATGAGGTTTTGAACTCATAAGAGCTCCTCCTGCCTCTGCCTCCCCAGTGTTGGGGTTAAAGCTACCATGCCCAGCTTTTTTGTTGTTTATTTTTTGAGACAGGGTTTCTCTGTGTAGCCCTGGCTGTCCTGGTGCTCACTCTGTAGACCAGGCTGGCCTTGAACTCAGCGAGCCACCTGCCTCTGCCTCCCAAGTGCTGGGATTAAAGGCATGTGCCACCATGCCTTGTATATCATTCTTAATTTTTTTTTTTAATTTATTTATTTATTATGTATACAATGTTCTGTCTGTGTGTATGCCTGCAGGCCAGAAGAGGGCACCAGATCTCGTTATTGATGGTTGTGAGCCACCATGTGGTTGCTGGGAATTGAACTCAGGACCTCTAGAAGAACAGCCAGTGCTCTTAACCTCTGAGCCATCTCTCCAGCCCTCATTCTTTTTTTTTTTTTTTTTTTGGTTTTTCGAGACAGGGTTTCTCTGTGTAGCTTTGCGCCTTTCCTGGATCTCGCGCTGTAGACCAGGCTGGCCTCGAACTCACAGAGATCCGCCTGCCTCTGCCTCCCGAGTGCTGGGATTAAAGGCGTGCGCCACCACCGCCTGGCCAGCCCTCATTCTTAATGTTTATATAGCCACACAGATTTCATGAAGCATCCTTAGAGACTGAGACAGCCTCTAAAAGGAGATCCTAGTCAAACTATTTATATGTCCCCTGTCTTAAGAGAGCGTATGTCATGTTGGTTTACCAGCATTTTAAAGGTTCTGAGAGTCCCAACTGTATGTTCAGAAGTGCTTTTCAAACCCATCAAAAACATTTGTAAGTAAGTACCATTACTGGGCAGAATAGCTGTAGCTTCAAACACTGTTGTCAGACTCTTTATCACCCTCCTTTACTGTAACCCAAGTCTTATTTTCTTATTAGGATAGCTGCCACAAAGCCCTTACCCGTTACCATTCTTTTTATACATCAGCTTTTGTCTTCAATATACTTTATATTGGGGGTTGATTGAATGGTTGAGAACAGCTTGTAAAAGCCAGAGTGAGACTTGACCCCAGCTAGTGTGATTATTCTACAATGGGGGCCAGCAGATTTTCCATAGTACAGGACCAGCCAGTGAATGTCACAGGCTCCGTGAGCCCCATCGTGCCCACGCAGCTCTTCTGTTATAAAAACAGCTAGAGTACATAAATAAATGTATATGGCTATGTTCCCTTTTTAAATGTTACTCCAAACAGGTAGTGGACTAGATCTGTCCCATGGTTTGGGCATGGTTTGTCAGCCCCCTGCTCGAGAATTATTTGCTATTGGTTGACCTGGGGACCTTCTGATACTTTCCTAAAATTATACAAAGGTACATTTCGTGTACACTCACTGCCTTAGACCTTGATGGTGAGCAGTTAAAGCAGCGTTTCTAACCCCTTAGCATTCTGCTCAGAACTGCGCGTACCTAAGGATGTTTCTGCCTCTGATTTGTTTTCTTTTCCCTGGCTCTAAGTCTGGGTCTTGTTTCAGTCAGTAGTTATGGACAGTGCACAGGGTTTACTTTAGTCTCAGCAGAGTGCCACTTTGGCTACACGCCTGAGAAGATGGCGGCTCACTTCCATGTGCTCAGAAGTCTTTGACTGCTTTCCTTCTCTACTCAACCTGTTCTCCAGGATTTTAACTTCCTCATACCAGTGCCTCAGAATCTGTCAGGTCAGAGTGAGGATCTACCCACCTGCCCACCATTTCTCTCTAGTTTCCTGTGCCTTTAGGGCACTCTTCTGCTCCTGCTCCTTTGCTGGGAGGCAAGGCCTCCTTTTGAGATGAAGGCTTCCTGGTTCACTGACACTGGGTGGTTTTTCCATCTCCCCCCCACTTAGGCTTGATTTTCACGTCCTGTTAGTATTTTGTTGTTGACTGTTGTTCCGGGCAGGGTTTTACTATGTAGATCTGACTCCTGGAAGACTGGCCTCAATTCAAGACCCATCTGCCTCTCCCTCTTGAGTACTGGGATTAAAGGTGTGCATCACTACCAGATTCCTCCTTTCTGTCCAGGAGCCTTACACACTAATCTTCAACTCAGGAAGTATCCTTGTGACCCTTTACACACTTCTCAAGCATGGTAACTATATTGTGCATAAGATTACATCTAAGAAGACTATCTGCACAGCCTTTTAGTCAGCCACCCAGCAGGAAAATGCCTGTTCTTGCTACCACCCTGACAGTGTTCATTTAACTGTTTATCTGTGTCTAACTAGCTTAATACAATAGTGGTTTTCCTGCCCTCAAATTCTATATGGTACCTCCAAGAGCATACCCCAGAGGCAGGCATCCAAGGGGCTATGCTGCATCCGTTTTTCTGCTTCCCCGATAGCTTGCAGTCTACAGAGGAATCTTGAGGACTGAGACAGTGTTTGTTTCTCTAGAATAAGAGGAGTAACACCCCAAAGTGCACCGACAAGGAGAAGGCCGCAGTGGGCACCATCATGGTAAGCCGCTTACCTGGCTGGTCAGAGCCAGGGGGCCTCAGTTCTTGGACATTAAAATTGTTTGTAGGAAAAGCAAGAATGTAAAAGGTGTTCTGTGAAGGATCTAAGAATTAGCCAGGTGGTGGTGCTGCTGCTGCCAGATCTCTTGAGTTCGAGGACAGCCAGGGAGGGCTACAGAGAGAAACCCTGTTTTGAAAAACCAAAACCAAAAAATAAAAAAAATCTAAGAATTGGTGAATGCAGCAAAGCTACTATATTTTAGGGAATACGGCTGTAACAATTCCTTTTAAGATATAGAAAGGCCCAGGTACAGGTTCATCCTCACCACTGTTCACTAAAGGGAAATACTGCAAATACCTAATGTCAAAAGGACCAGCTAAGTAAGTCATAGTATATATCATACAGGAGAACACTGGGCAGAAGGTCTCAATGTGCAGCTAGAAAGCTGTCTCCGAGGTATTTAAAAGTGGGATGGCGTCATCAGGATCGGCCGTACAAGCCTGTAATCCCAGGATTCAGGAGGAAGCCAGCCTGAGTGACCGGCTCCTCATTTGAGGGAATAATCCCAGCAATGCAAGTGCATTCACCACTCAGAAAGAAACAAGAGCAAGTGCCACAGTGGGTTCTTCTTTAAGACACTACAGGAAAACTTCAAAAGCTTTGAACTTGAAATAGAAGTCTTAACGTCCTTTTGCCCGTAGGCCAAAGTTCTTCGTGAAACCAAGCCAATCCCTAACCTCGTCTTTGCCATTGAACAGTATGAAAAGTTTCTAATCCAGCTATCCAAGAAGTCCAAGGTAAAACAGTACCACTCCCCTTTCCTGTTAAAGGGCCTGGCAAGCCAAGGCAGGCAGCACGCCATTTCTGACCCCATGGACTCAAGTGTGTTAAGCTGTCCCCGAGTAAGTGCCCGAGTTCATAATCCTGTCTGTCCCAGGTAAACCTGATGCAGCACATGAAACTCAGTACTTCTCGGGACTTCAAGATCAAAGGCAACATCCTAGACATGGTTCTTCGAGAGGATGGGGAAGATGAAAACGGAGAGGTCGGTGCCTACTTCTGTATATTTGGTACATGTGTCTAGGAAAGTGGCAAACTGCCCTCCCCTAGGGTCCTGTTTCTACCGCATTCTGGCTGGTTTTTACACTCTCCCTCAAGGTAGACCCATCCTGAATCTTAGGTGAGATTCTCCATTTCATTATCTGAACCCGGTTTCCTTGCCTTTTGGAAGCCAGAAGAAGTAACATCAGTAGCCTAGACCCATTCAAAATTAGAAGTTTATGTGAAATAACCTGATATCAGAAAATTCGATCCGGAATTCTTTAGATCATCAAACTCCTGTCTCCGTGGGAAGGTCATATGGAATACTGTGATGCTGGAGTCCTGGCCTCTCACGTTCAGGATGGAGGGTTCTAAATAGCCACGCGGGAGGCGGGGAGGCAAAGCATGACTAGGACAGGAGTTTTGTTTGGTGTCTGTCTTTATTCCCATCACCTTAGCACTCCACTCTCCCCTCCAGGGCACTGCACCAGCACACACGGAGCAGGACAGAGAACCAGCCAAGAAGAAAAGGAAGATATGCCTGAGTTAATGTGACCTTTGGGGTATCTGCTTCACTTGTGCCCACAGTACCCCTTGTCATACAGCCTGCACTGACGTTGGCGTCCTGGTCTGAACCCACCGAACTGTGCCTTCAGTTAGAAGGAGTCTTCGGGGCAGGTCCTGCTACAGAAAAATGGCTGCCTAGGCATGCCCTTTTTCCAAAGCACATCTGAAAGCCTGAGTTTAGGAGCCTGCACCACACGGACGAAGCTCCACAGGAGCAAATACAGAGCCTGCAGATGGAGCTAGGGTCCAGGCTGGCTTCGTTTCTCCAAGGAGCCTTTGGTGAGTTCAATGATCTGGTAAATGTCCAGCGCTTCACCTGCAAGACAGTGGGAACTGGTTAGGATGCCTCCAGAAGAACTGTGACTGAGCTCTGAAATGAGAAGAACTGCCACGAATGGCAGTTTGTCCTAAGTTTTCTGACTCACTCTGGCATTTTCAGCATATTTTTCCATCTCAGAATGCACTTTGACTTACATAATAAATCTTTAAATTTTCCTGGTGTAGTTTTGAAAATGGGTCATTACAGATGGAGTATTTGGAATTCTAGCATTTCTTCATTGACTACGAACCACTTCCTGCAACAGCTCCCTTTGTGATTTGAATATCACATCCACTTTAGAATATGGCACACGTTAAAAGTGGATTTCTTCCCCAGGGCCCCAAAGTTCTAAGCCACCTCCCATTCTATGTATATGAGGAACAAAGATTGTGCTCACCCTGGGGAATCCCGTATCTCCTTTCCATCCCAGTTGGGTTAGAAGGAGTTCTACAGTCCATGGTCACTTCCTTCCTGAGGCACTGGTCAATGTCTACTGCACTGAAGAAGGCCACTGACTGAGGCAGGTCCTTCAGACCCAGCTTGTAGGCAAACATGCACCTGAAAGAGACCCGGTCTGCTCACAGCCATGCCCTGCTGGGAGCACAGGCTCCTCCTCGCTCCAGGAGGCGTGACCAGAGCTCCCACAGAGCAGGGTTTCTCCTGTTTCAGTCACCCACACTTAGCAGAACCGTGAGAGTGGAGGCAGGCTTAGTACCTCCATGTTCAGCTTAGTACCTCTGAGATTGAGATACTGAAATACAATTAGGGACTCAACATACTTGTCCAGTTTGGAATACTTCATTGATACTAAAAATTGATTTCAATTACTGGAACCAAATATGAAAAATAAATGCTGACTTTAAAACATAACCACTAACCAAGCCCAGAAGAGAGCATGGGTAACAATGCTGAACTGTAAATTCGTTATTTACCCATTTTTCAAGATAGATCACAGTTTCCAGATTGGTTCTGGGTGGTAGATCAATATGAAATAGTATTTAACTCATCCACATGAACTAGGATTTTTAGTATAAGAAAATAAAATTCAACAGGCATGGTGGCACACACCTTTAATCCCACCACTTGGGAGGCAGAGGCAGGCAGATCTCTGAGTTCAAGGCCAGCCTGGTCTATATTAGAGTTCCAGGACAGCAAGGACTACATAAAGACCCTGTCTTAAAAAAACAAAATACAACTCAATAATACATAAAACATGTTTTTCTAAGTTGTATTTGAGTCTCCTCATTAAAGAGGTTTCCTGTTAGCAGAGTAACACCTTAGGCACTTTAAATGTTTAGGGGAGAAAAAGATGAACATCTCACTTCTCTGAGTTGAAATGTCTTCTGTCACTGATTCCAGGCATATTACTAGGAAAGCAATAACAACTCCCTTGACCTTGCCACCACCTGAATGGTTTAGTTACTGACACATGCCACTTTCAGACCCAACGAATCCTTTTGAAAAGTTGAGGTCCTTTTTAGGAGTTCCACAGACTTTAAAATAAGGAAGGGAAGGTGACAACCAGACCTGCTCAGTGGGCCCCAGGGCCCCACCCACCTGGTCAGGAGGTTGGTGATCTGTAACGCCAGGGCAGCGCGGTAGCGGTCCTCCTCCCGCACCAGGTAGCGAACCTCATCGTGGATGCTGATGCAGAAGCGTCCGTCGATGGCAAATTCCTCAAACAGCCACTTCATGGCCACAAGCATGAGGTGTAAGTAGTCCACAGCAGAGCTCTGTACCACCCAGTTCACACGACTGGTCATAAACTAAGGCAGACAGGCGGACGTCAGTGAGGAAGATGCGCATACCAGTTTGCTCTAGTCCAGGGACCCTGCCTCCCCCGGCCCCCTCCGTGCTCTAAGGATGGCGAGATCCCTCACCTCTCCCTGGACAACCGAGGGTTCCAGGGCTCTGCTGATGCAGCAGCCTAGCACTGGGGTCCGTGGTGTGTCAGACAAGGCAATGCTCTCCAGCTTGTTAAACATTTCCGACTCTGTGCCCCCTGTCCATGACCGCTCAGCAGCCACCTCCCACTTCTTCCAGCGTGACCTAGGGGGACAGACACCATGAGGTCAGGCTTGGTCTGTTAGCGTCTCAGTGCTAAAATTTGAAGTGTGTCAGCCTTTGGGGACCAGCCCACACCAGTCCCTGCATCTTGAACACAGAAGGTTCTCACTTCCTTGAAGCTTCTCTTCGGATCTTCCGAAGATCCTGGAGGGAAACGCGGCCATCCTCTGTCCTGTCCACAGGGAGGTCCAACTGTCTCACCAGCCATTCACCCTCATCTGAGAGCTGATACCTGGGGGCAGTAGTTCCGTGTCATTCTCATTAAATGGCCGCCTCTGTGGCACACCCACACTCAATTTCCCAAACTGCCCCTGGTCATGCTTCTCCCCTAGGGCTAACTTCAGCAGGGAAAACAGGCCCAAAGAGGCTGAATGGCTTGCTGGGGTCGGCAGTTAGGAAGGGGCATAACATAGAAACTCGGGCTTTTGTGTTCCCAGAGGCCTGGGCTGTATGTGTTAGCCCAGTAAAGGGCAAACTCCAACACAAGCCAATCCTGGTCATACTGTCAGTGTGTGCTTGACATGAACTGCCCAGTGACCAACAACAGCCTTCTGTTAGTTCAGGAGACAGTGAGGAGTGAAAGTACAGTAACCCCTAAAGGGGAGAAGGAACCCGGAGAAGCCAAAAACAAGCCAGCCAAGCCCAGCTTCTCAGCTCCTACTGCCCCCGGCTCCTAAGGGTTCCAGAACCACGCCAGCTTTGGGAAGGAGCATCAGGGCTTCCCCACAGTTTAGGGCTGCAGTTCAAATTGTTATGATGTCTCCCTTCTACGACTGAGGGCCGGCCTCCCTTCATCACTGTCCTCCTTCCAGGACATGGTCCACCTGCTCTCAACATCAGATCCTGATCCCAACAGTCACCACTACACCCTACGTCAGTCTTTCTCAAAGTGAGTGTGCTGACTAGCTTGCAGCAAGTTGATAAACAACTAGTCATCCGGGAAGAGGGAACCTCAACTGAGAAAAAGCCTTCGTTGCACTGGCCTACTTGCAGTCTGTGGTGCCTTTTTTTTTTGTTTTTGGATTAATGAATTGTGGGAGGATACAGGCCACTGTGGGAGGTCCCAACCCAGGCCGGTAATCCCAGAGTACACAAGAAAGCAGGCTTAGCAAGTCAGTAAACAGTATTCCTCCATGGCCTCTGCGCTTCAGTTCCTGCCTCAGTTTCCCTCAGTGATGGAGTGGAACCTGAGAGTTGAGTTGTAAGATGAAATAAACCCATTCCTCCCCAGACTGCTTTTGGTCATTGTGTTAATCATTGAAATAGAAACCTAACTACGACAGTTTCCACAGTTAGTAAGCTATCTAAAAAACCTAACTAAGACAGTTTCCAGTTAAGCTACCTCCATGGGGACACTACAGCGTACCTAAAAAAACTGTCACTGTCCTGCTACTCTCCTCCTCTGCACTTGAGCCTACCAAAAGGCCCAAGGGCCTAAGCACACAGCATGTAGCACTGCTGGAGAAAACAGGTCTGAGTAAACTGGAAGGCTTTCTCCTGTCAGGACTAGCCTACACTCTGGTTCTGCATACTTCTATTCCCTCAGCTCCTACAGCGATGAGCATAGGACCCTGTCCTGGCTGGTTTGTGTGCCAACTTGACAGAAGCTAGAGCCATCAGAGGGAAAGGAGTCTCAGTTGAGGAAATGCCTCCATGAGATCCAACTGGAAGGCCTTTTCTCAAGTAGTGATTGATGGAGGGCCCAGGCCATTTTGGGTGGTGCCATCCCTGGGCTAATAGTCCAGGGTTCTGTAAGAAAGCAGGCTGGGCAAGCCATGGGAAAGAAGCTAATAAGTAGCACGCCTCCATGGTCTCTGTATCAGCTCCTGCCTCCAGGATCCTGCCCTGTTTTGAGTTCCTGTCCTGACTTCCTTCAGTGATGAATAGCAATGTGGAAGTGTAAGCCAAATAAACCCTTTCCTCCCCAACTCGCTTTTTGGTCATGGTGTTTCATCGCAGCAACAGAAACCCTAAGACAGACCCCTAAGCTACTGCGGATGTGACCTAATTATAGTCATGGATGACCACTTGATGACAGTATGCTCTAAGTACAGCTTTGCCCCGTGAGGAAAAACTAGCGCTATAAAGAAAGACAACGTTACAACTTCCACGATAAAGCATCCTGCAGCTAGGTTTAGAGGGAGAGCACTCAGGCGATGGGCAAGAGATGGGGAGGGAGAGCTGTAAAGCAGGCCTCCGATCCCGGATGCTAGCGGGGTGGGAGAGGGGCCCTCACCGGCGGAGGCCCTTTGTGACAGCGTACATCTGCTGGGCCTTCTCAGCTGCCTCCTGTCTTGTGAGCCTGTGGTTGAACTGCATCAGCAGGCGCTCGGCAAAGGACTGCCCCGCCCCGTAGATCCGGCCGTAGTTGAAGACTTTGGCATGCTCTCGGCTGATGCCCACAGTGGTGGCTGTCTTACTGTGTAGATCGGTGCCCCTGCTCTTCCTGCCCTGCAGAGTCATCCAGCCAAAGGCCGTGCAGCCTGGAGAACAGAGAAGGAGCAGCTCAGCAATGTTTGGCGCTGCCACCTCACCCCTGCCCAAGCCACAGGTCCTGCTTACCATGCATCCCAGCAAAGTGAGCATCTCCAAGTACAGCTGCAATCCACAGTTCCTGTGAGTCCACATCAGCACCCACGAGGACATAGCCAGGTGGAGCCTGAACCATGGCTTTCAATTCACTGCCTACTCGATCAGGCTGCAGGAAGAGTGGGGTCAGGCCCACCTAGAAGCCCAAGGCAACTGCTACCCTGGATTCCTAGGCCTAGGGCTGACAAAGTACTGGCTCTTTCCCGGGGGAAGACTGGAGAATGCCACACAGCACTACTCCAGACTTTGTGCAGAGATGGCCCCTGCCAGCAGCAGGCTAGAAAATGAAGAAACCCTGCGAAACCGTATGCCAGCACCCCAACTTGGCTCATCTAAATTCCATGATAGCTGTGGCCACTATGCCTGGCACTGTCTGGCCAGCAGCAGGCACCTAAAACACATTTGCCAGGGAATGAATGACATGAAGTCACATTTAAACCAGAGCCCTGTGCAACCAAGACTTGGTTTCCTCCCCATGTCCCTTTCTAGACCTCCAAAGGCTCTGAGACCTAAGAGAGGAAACAGAACAGAAGCCAGGAACAGAGAGGACACGTACCCGGGCATTGCTGGCAGTAAGCCACGTGGGCTCCACAGCTCGGCGAGTGATGGTACCAGCAGTCACCACCTGGGGCAGGATGGCACCATAGCGGCCTTCTTCATCGAAGTTAGGGTGCCTGGGATGGAGATGCAGGGAGTGTCAGCAGTGTGCCCTGGCCCTAAGACCCACACCACTCAGTTCTCTCCCCACAAACACTCAGCAGGCCGTACCTGGTCACGGCACGCGGCAGGGCTGACCTGGGGAGCCATACCACCATCTGGGAGCTGTAGGACAAGAAGGCTGAAGCTCAGCAGAGCCACATAAGCAGGACCCACCTCAGCATGCTGTCACCAGCATGTGTCCCTGACCACCTCCAGAGACCGTGTCCCCTGGAGGCCTGGCATCAACTCTCTTCTCTCTTTATTTACTCTTCTGAGTAAGTAAACTTCCTCAGGTGGGCTCTGGCTCAGCCAAAGCCTGGACCTACAGGAGGCTCTGGGCCTCACAGAAGAATCTAGGAAGTGGTCAGGCTGCCAAGGCAGCTTCTGACTCTCTCCCTGGTACCACTGCCTCTCTGCAATCAGGGCAGACTACCAATACCCTCACAAAGGGCTGTGACCACAACCATCTGGAAACGACCTTTGGGATGAATTCATTTGCCACTGCAGAAGGATTCCGCTCTCAATCCCTAATACAGGTTACAGATAACCAGCCCTCCAAGACCTTTATTGACAGCCCCATGGCTCCAGCAGTTAAGTTAGGGGATTTTGTGGGAGCTGGGACGAGCCATCAAAGTCCTACCATGCCACTCTACCTAAACAAAGAAACTGAAGTTGGAGCAGGAGAAACATGCCCAAGATCCACATCACCCGGAAAAACAGTTAAGCCTCTAAACTACAGCTAGGCTGCCCCTCTGGAGCAGCCCAGGCAAGGTCAGGACACCAGAGTAAAATGAGCAGAAAGGAGGCTTGGGGCTGCAGACACCTGACCAGCCCCACAGACAGGCCTCCAGCTACCCTACTTTGGCCCACCTGATACGTTTATGAGCATTCCTCCAGAAAGAGATCATTTTATTTATTTCCAGGGCACGGGGTCCACTGGCACCTCCTGGGCCAGCCTGCAGGGTGCCATCCTCCATCTTGGGCAGGAAGTCTTTGGCAAAGGGACTGCCCACATTGTAGTTGTTACCATCCTGCAGAGGACAGAGACAGCAGGGGCTGGAGACAGGTGGCAGACCACCAGGCAGGGAGCCGACACAGACGCCAGGCCTTCTCCCAGGCCATTCTCTCGTGGGGCAATGCCACATTGGTACCTTGCACATATGTAAGTGCATACCCACACATGCTAACGATAATCAAAGGTAGTATCAATAGCCAATAGAAGCTACCATATGACAGATAAATGATGTCCATGTCAATTCATCCCACCAGGAGGCCTCTCGCCACTCAATTTTCAAAAAACAAAAGCACTAGAGATGGAACTTGTCCCAAACCAGAATCAGCCCACTACTACCGTCAGTCTCACGAAAAGCAGCCTCCTGGTCTGAGCAACCACTACCTCCTACTGTGGGCCTTAACCACAGAGAACACGAGGCAGGCACAAACCAGAGCACATACCTTGTGAGGCAGCTTGAAAAACCAGCAACCAGGGATATCCACATCATTATAAGGTCCGTTGCCATGGTGGTAAGTGGGCTGGCTGGTTTTGGGGTCACAAGCAGCAGGCTGTGGGGGCCACACACCCAGATCAGGCCCTGCTCCAGCACCTGCATTCAGCAAGGGCCAGGAGGTAGGGGGATAGGAAAAGGGCCTGAAACTGAGCAAGCAAACTGCAAAGTGACAGGAAGGCATGAGGTCATAGGTTTCCTCCTCGGTCTCCCTACACCTACAGGACCAGAGGGGATAAGGGCAGCATCTCCAAACCCCCAAGACCGAGTGAACTCTGGTGGGAAAGAACTTCATGAGCAAGAGGAAGTCCCAGCCACCCACTACCCACCCAGAGACCCCAAGCAGGTGTCTTGCTCACCGGAGTTAAGGGTTGACCCAGCAATGAATTCTCCATCTTGGCCTCAGCCTCCACATCTAAGCAGCCCAGCTCTTCTGCCTGAATGGGCCCAGGAACCGGGGGTGAGAGAGGCTGGCAGCTGTAGACCTGAATCTACCAGCCCTTCCCTCAAGAGAACTCAGACCAGTCTAGTCTAAGATGAGCAACCAGAGGCTCATTTTCCTGGGAAATGGTGCCCCATTTTCCTGGGAAAACAGACCCCTCGCCCAACAGGCTCAGGCTCCGAGCACACCCTCACCGTCTGCCACATGGCACTATTGTCGGTGACTAAGAACTCCTCAGCCAGCGCCGTCTCCTGGGTCTTCAGCTGCTGCTTCCCCTGTTCCAGACAGTGCTGCTTGTACAAGGATTCGATGGCCCTGGACAGAGAAAGTAACTGCGGATTACTGGATACCTGCTCAGGCCATACAGCTTGCTGGGGTGTTTGTTCTATGGGTCCCTTTGTTCAGATCTCACATCAGCTCTGAGGAAGGCGACAGCAGTTTCCCTGGATTTTAAACAAGAGAATGGCCAGCCCAAGTGACTTAGCACACTGGTGACGGGCTAGGGTGTGATAAATGGTCTGACTCAAACCCAAGCTCCTCTATGCTCGAGAGTTCTGGAAGCAAAGCAGCAGGGAAATCAAGACTGAAGGCTGGCTGCTCCTGTTCACCGCTCAGCATGTGTGGGCTCCGCAGAGCAAGGCCACCTCAGTCCCTTCCATCTGAAAGCCTGACAAGCTGACTCCAGCTGTCCTGTGGAACCAGGACTCTGGGCCACTTCAAATACCTTGACCTCTCTGTAACACCTGCCTGTCCAAAGTTCAGGGTTTGTGGCCTCCAGCAGGTCAAGCAGCCTCTCTAGGTCCTTGTCAATTATAAATGTGGATACCAGGCCTGGTAAGACACTTGCCTCCTGTGCATGAGGTCAAAAGTTCAATCTCTAGCACCATAAATTTTTTTTAAAAAACCCTAAAATTAAAAATAAATAAAGCCAGGTGTGGTAACTCACACCTACAATTCCAGTAGTTGAAAAGCTGAGGCAAGGGGCTGGAGAGCTGGCTCAGTGGTTAAGAGCACTCTTAACCTGCTGCTCTTCCAGAGGACACAGGTTCATTTCCTAGCACCCGCATGGTGGGTAACACCCTTTTCTGACCTCTGTCATGTACCAGGCATACCTGTGGTACACATCCCTGCAGACAAACAGTTATATAAGTAAAAATAAAAATAGTAATGATGATTTAAAAAGAAAAAAAAGAAAAGCTGAGGCAAGATTACTGCCTTGAGACTGAGACCAGCCTAGCTACATAGTGAATTCCAGGCTGGCTTAGGCTTCAGAGTGAAACCATGTCTCAAAAACAAACATAAATAAAAGGAAGAATTGTTTCTCATGGAGCTGCTTAGATGCCAAGTGAGATCCACACTGGCTGGTAACACCGTGTCCAGCACATCAGCAGCACTCAGATTCTACTCAGAAAAGCAGCAAGCCTACCCTTCCCAGGCCACACCCCAAACTTCCCTGTCGGTTACTGTGAAAGCAGCTAGGCTGCTGGGCCTTGACAGCAAGGCTCTGAGGTCCAGAGGGTCAGAGGGAAAAGAACTAACAGCTCGAGCTGACCTTGCTTACTCCTCCCTGGAGTCAGACCGCGAATCTTACCTGTAGGGGCAGGCTAGCCCAGCTGACTCAGCGGTGGGGCTCACTGGCAGCTCAGCCACATTATCCCGCCGCCCGGGCACCAGGTAGCCCCAACCATGAGCGTCTGAGTAGTGTAGGGGAAAACCATCCCAGGTCAGTGCCATGAGCTTAGGAGTGATCCGCATTTGCAGGCTGAGGAGGCTGGGGCCTGGAGTCCATGCAGGGTCATCTAGCCGAGGACAGAGCTTCCGGTACCACCTATTGCCCCGACGGGGAACAAAAGTGTCACACTAAGGAGTAAGGAAGGGTCTCTCTTCCATGATGTACCCAACCCACCTTCCAAGGCCTCCAGGCTTCCTGACAACTCAGATCAAGAATTATCAGTCCTCTCCTTTGGGGGTTTTGAACCTATCTGGTGTCTCCTAGACTTATTCAAGTTATCTCAGAAGGTGAACCCCACATGTCAAAGCTTCTTTCCAGCGCCCATGCAGCCTCTAAGAGGAAGCAACAGATCTTCCTTCCTACCCACGAGAACCCGGCTGTTGTGGAGACACACAACTCTGTCTGAGACCAGGGTGAGGCTAGCAGCACCCAAGGCATTTGCATCCAGGGTCACATGAGTACCGTGAGGCTACACCACTGTTCACTACGGCTGCCCTGTTTCTCATCTCTGCCTCAAGGAAACTGCCTTATTTCCACAGGGACAACAGAACTGCCTCTAAACTATATGCTCTCAAGTCTTACTAGAGGTCAGCTGCACTGGCTGGTCTGTACCCCTGCTGCCCCTCGAAGGGAGATGAGTGCCATTTGTGCCCCCGCAGCTGCCACAGGCAGCATACGGAGCAGGGGCTCAATGCACTGTGCTGAATGTGTCAGGGTAGACACAACGGAGCAGAAATGCAAAGTGCAACGAACGCACGCCAACCAAGGTCCAGGACCAAGAGTGCCGAGGCGCACGCAAGACAGTCTCTGTATGCCAGATACAATCAAGTCTTACCCAGGGTGTCCAGGAAGGTGCTGGGGTCGCTTAGGCAGGAGGTCTATGGTGCTCTTCAGCTGCTGTAAACGGGTGCGGACTACTACATCTTGCTGAAGCTCCTCCTCCTCGCTGGGTGGTCCGGGATCTGTGCCAGGGTCAGGAGGTTAGGACCAGATGGGACTCACAGGTCCGAAAGACTACGGCAACCCCTTCCTAGGGCCCCCTGGGTCCTAGGACTGTCCCAGAGATCACCCTGTCCCATCTCCCACCTAAGCTTCCCACCTTCCTGCTCCGTGGGTTCCCCAAAGGGCCCAGCTCCCTCGATGGGCAACTTGTTGGCTGAGGCTGGCTTCTTCACCTTCCTTGCCTTTTTCTGCTTAAATTCCTGCAAATCCCACTCCAGGTTCCAGAGCCAAGGGTCTTCTTTGTACCTGCAGAGCCAGTCCACCAGGCAAGGGTTAAGGCTGAGCTAAAATCCAGGCTTCCTACCTGCCTGTCCCCTGCCTTGACCCAGGACCTGACTACCTCTCTCCTGAGAGCAACTGGCAAGCATCATTAGCCAGATCCATCAGCGACTTCTTCATCTCCCGCTGGAGCTCCTCATATGTGCTCTGTGCCTCTTCCAGGTAGCGCTCCCAGTTCTGGTTGACAGGCAGGTAGGAGACACCCATCTCGAGCATGCCAGCCAGAGTCACTGGGTGGGGGCACCTTAGGGACAGACACCAAGGGCTGCCATAAATGACCACAGGAGACAAGGCTTGGGCCCAATTCCTAAGACAATTTGACAAGCTCAACCCAACTAGCTTTGTGGCACAGCTCTAAAATAGGACAGGCCTGAACCCAGCTTTACTGCTGCCCAGCCCTGCACTGGTCACCTGACTTCTCTGGGCCTCAGTTCCTTTACCTGAAACATGGAACTAACATCCCCTCTTCGGGGGTGACATGAAAATGATGGGGGCGGAGAGAATGAGGGCCACTGAGTGACAGGTCAGTGTCAGGCATCGTGCTAACAATCCCACACATGCCAATGACTGCCTATGGCCCTCACAACCAGGAGGGAAGTAGATCTGTGTGTACGTCTTGATGAAAACACCGAGGCTCACAGAAACCAAGTTACTTGTCTAAGGTCATTGAGGATGCGGCACCCACACTTTGAGCCTTGGGTGCATGACAATCATCACTGACCGTATCATCAGACTCACTAAAAAAACAAAGACAGAAAATTGGGGCCACACATGAGACGAGCCCCTGGGACTCCAGGGCCCACATGGCCTCCACTCAACAGAGGGGTTCCATTCTTTCAGCCTACAGAAACTAAGTGACCAGCCTGAGAAAGAATCAGTCCCACCTGATTACAAGGGGATCGGGTCCCAGGACCTACCCATCCCCGGGGTTTCACTTGGCTCCCCTCACCTCTCCAAGAAGAGTGGCAGCTGCTGCTGGAAAACCTCATAGGTGGCCCACACATCACGGGCACAGTACTGCATCAGATCCTAGCACAAGGTGACAGGAACTTGGTGGGGTGGGGTGGGCTGGACAGGGACAACCACCGACTACCACTGCTGGGTCTCAGGGGCAGATCCAACAGCTGTACCTCCCCAAATCCAGCTGCAGGTCAGTCACAGCCCATCTATCTGAAGCTCTGTGCCAACACCATACCTGGAAGTTCTCCCGGATATCTCTCATGCTGCCCTTGACGAACAGTTCCCGAGGCTCCTTGTCTAAGGGAGGCCCCCCCACATAAAGGCTGTGCACGTCTGCAAGATTATTAGCACTGCTGATGCTCATCCAGTCCCAAGATGAAACCTGAGAAACCGAAGGGAGGTCAGCTTGGTCTTAAGCCCAACAAGTAGTCCGGTGACCGGATCCTAAGCATCCCTTTGGGGCAGTCCCAAGCGCACTCTCACCTCTAGACCACTGGCTTTCCGCTGGGACTTCTGACCTCGATGTGTGGGGTGCCCAGTCTTCCGCTTGCCCTGCTTGGCTGCCATCCACAGACTGCGCTGGAAGCTGCTCAGCCCTGAGATGGCCATGTGCATGCTCATAGTGTCCAGAAAGCGCATGCGGGAGCCCTGGGAAGGGCAGGAGAGGAGAGGCTGCAGCAGAGGGGCTAGCCGGCCACTGCTCGTGGTGTTGACTCCAGCCCCACGTTAGCTCCTCACATACCCTCTACCCCAACACACAGCCTCCAACACAAAACAGAAGTTCCATGCTTGTCCCAGCACCTGGGAGCGACCTGCCCAATTCCTGAATGTGCAGAACTGGCCCAGTCCCAATGCACAAGTACTTCCCGGCTTCTAACAACATCTCTGGGCAACTCTGGGCAGATGAGGTAAACAAGACCTTCAGAGCTATGGGCCAGCCCCCCAGCTCTAGTCCTAGTGCTAGCCCTCACAAGCTGTGGGCCCTGACAAGTTAATAAGGCTGTCCATGCCGAGTGCCCTAAATGCCAGGCTAAGAGTGCTGCCAGGGGTACTTCCTTGGCCTGCCCTTCACCTCAGCCTGTTATGAAGATTCAAAGAAAAAGCGTTTTTTACAATCTAAGAACCACCACTACTACACACCAGCAGTTCTGATTGCCTTGACACATGTGCTATTCAAACGCTCCTAAAAGTACACTGAGGGAGCTTCTGTCAGCTCTCTTCACAGAAAGAGAGACTGAGGCTTAGAGGTGTTGAGGAGATTAACACTGCCCATCAATGGACGAGGCAGGATGTGGTCCAGGCTCTAAGTCAGAGCCCTCAAAAGCTCTAAAATGCCACAAAAAAGATAAGAGCCATCTTATTCTGGAACTCCCAGGCCCATGCCAACACAGCTGTGATGGCGCTCCTTGCAACAACCTTCAGGGAAGAGAGGGGTCATCTGCCTCAACAGTTTAAACACCATACTAAGTTGTTTCAAGTCTGTTCTGGAGATCCAACAGCGGGTCAACCAAAGTCCCTGGGAACAGTGGTCAGGAGAGCAGTGCTGGGGCTGGAGATGGCCCAGGGGTTAAGAGCAACGACTGCTTTTCCAGAGGAGCCGCCGTTCCCACAACTTACCTGAATCAGGTACTGCTCCCTGATGTGGGCTCGGTCAAAGGAAACATTGTGCCCCACCACCAACTGTTCCTGCCAGTCCCGCTGGGTGGAGCTGCCGGCACCAGCAGAGACATCCAGGGGGATCAGGTCAGCCGGCGATAGCCGGCTGGTCCAGGAGTACCGCTCTTCCACCAGCCGCCGGCTGCACCAGGAATACCTGAAGGGGACGAGAAGGGGGCAGGTTTACCGTAAAGGAACGGACCTCGGTGCCACACCACCCACCGCATGCCACGTCCCCAGGGGGTGCTACGCACTCATACAAGTCAGGGGATCACGGGGGAAGGAAATGATGATAAAGCTTCCTCACTATCCAACTCCCACCGATTAATAAGGAGCTAAATGCTGTGGCAGTGGGTGCCATGTGCAGGAAGGCGGGCAGGCCAGGTGCCGAGTCTGCAGCCAGCTCTGAGGCCTCTATGGATATGACCAACCCTTTGTCTTTAAGCAGAAAACAGCTAGTGTGCGTGTGCTAATAAAGGAGAGAGTTGGTAATACAACCCAAAGTGGAGAATTTCTTCACTGAAAATGGCAAAAAAAAAAAAAAAAAATGATAAATGCTGCGTACACATACAGGGTGAATCGTCTGAAGATTCTGAAGGAAAAAATAAATCATGCACCTTCCAGGAGCAACCACCCTCAGTGAGATGCCACAGAGCACGCCATGATGAGAGAATGTATGTCCATGTGCAGAGTGGGTGTGGCGGAGGCAGAATGGGCACTGGTCGCAGGGTCCTGACACTCACTCAGGAAAAGGTTAGTCTGCTCAAGGTCCCAGGGCAAAGTGGGGGGATGGCCACTGACACAGAACAAGCCCCACACCGTTCCAAAGGCCTGAGGCCATCCAGTAGACAATACCACACTGCAACCTTTAGGGAAGACATGCATGACCTGCCTCAAGTTCCAACCGCAAAACTAGCTGCTTTAAAGCTGGCCAACTCTAATGCACACTCCACGGTGGGACTGCATATGGCACTCAAGCTGGAATCCTTCCTCTCTTACCCCAGCTGGTCAAGCGAGGGCTCAAGAATGCTACATACTCAAAGCTATGAAGATGGTAAGGACTTCAGTTACCAAAAGCCATACTGGTGTCTAGACACAGGCCTGCAGCTGTTCGAAAGCCATCTTTTTATAAACTTGTGATTTACCAAAAAAAAAAAAAAAAGGGGGGGGGGCCAAAATTAGGATGAGCTGGAACCCATGCTTATCAATACCAGAGTTTTCCTTGGAACTCTCCAAGGCCAAGAGCCTGGGTGATATCCCTTCAGGCAGATGACTGACCAAAGCCTTCAGGAAGACTTATGGGAGACCCGGCGTTCCCAGCTTCCATCCAACTCCTACAAGTTGCGAGCTGAGCTGGTCGGGTTATACGACCGTGTGACAGAGCATGCCAGGGTAAACGTGGACCGCTACCGAGGCACACCCACAACCACGCTGGTCAAGACTACTAGGAGAAAGGTCTTTGCACAAACTCAGGCCTCGGCACTGGCTTCTGCCATCAGGCAGACTAAGCAACGCCCCCCCAGGACCACTGGCTATAAATGGAATGAGAATGGAGACAGAATGGGCAGGAAACGAGAGAGGGGTGAAGTGCGGAAGGCGGGGGAAGAGAAGGGGGGCCTGACTTGCCCAACATGACCAAGGGTCCAAAAGCCTCATTGTCACTGGTTTCCGTGGAGCCACCAAAGCCTACTTTATCTTTCAACAGGTGGCCGGTATCCCCCTTGACTCTGGCCATCAACGCACAAGCACTGTGGTTCTTATCGGAACTTCAGCTAAATCAATGCAGAGTCATCTAGAGTCGCTCTTTTTAGCCAGTAGTGCCTACCTTATCTATTTAGCCATGCTTTCACCAGTTTCAACTGCATATATAACATTTCGCAGCTTTCTGTACAAAGATGTAGCTTCCAATAGGAATAAAGAAACTGCCAACTTTTTTGCTGGCCATGCCTGAAAGCATTAAGGCTGTAAATAGTATTTTAATCCTGGAATGAAGAATAAGAAAAGGGGAGAGACAGTACTGCCATCATTGCTTGAGAAAGAAACTTGGGTAGCACTTAGAAAAGTTATTTCAAAAGGAAAGAGAGAGGCTGGATATACCTGTTTGGGGACCAAAATGTCTAACTTGTAAGGAAGTAACATTTCTCAGCTGGGGGCGGTCAGGACTTAGGCCACCTCCAGGGTCATTTGGAAAGGCTGAACAGGTCTGGCGGTTAAGGAAGACACTGGGGGCGCTGAGCATTTTAAACTGCCTAGAACAATCCCACCAAAAACATCTTCCTGTCCAAAATAACCATCGGCATTCCCAAAACCAAACACTTTCCAGACTGACTTCTAACGGATGCTCCTAGGGGCTAGGGGTTGAGGCGCCAACACGTGGTCATCTTGCACGGTCTCTCAGTCTGTCTCAAACACAACACTGATTCTCTGCATGGCCCCTGCCATTCGCTTGGGCGCTGCCTAGAGCCTGTCTTTCCACCAGAGTGAGCCCCACAAAAGCAGGATTAAGCGGGTTGAGTTCACCACACCAGCAGTCCTTAAATGAGCACACAGCAGGACTTCAGAAAACTGTTCACCCAACCAAACCATTTAGCTGGGCCCCCTACGAACGGTAGCTCCCTGTTCCTAACCCCCACTTACCAGGCCGAGGGGGATATGGCCAGCGCCAAAGTGGGGCACGTTCCCTCTGACAGGCAGACCTCCACGTCGAACACCAGGGCCCGCTCCTCGGGGATGGCCACGGGTTCGGCCTGCCCCTCGGGGCCGTACCGGGTCCAGCCCTCCGCCCAGGCCCACCTCGCGGGCTGGGGCGGCAATTGGGCCTCCAATAACGAGGCGGCCGCCTCCAAGTAAGGCAGGCTCTGCTTCTGGGCCAGGAGGCGGAAGTGCTGGTCCAGGTTGCCCCCCAAGAGCCGGGGCAGGCTCAGCTGCACGTCTGGCATGGGCGTGGCCGGCTGCCCCCAGAGCCCGTGCTTCTGCAGGTGCTGGATGCTGCGCCGCACCGCGGCCTCGTCGGGCGGCTCCCCTCCGCACCCGAAGATTTGCCGGTGCAGCCCTCTCGACAGCATCTGGATGTGCAGAGGGTTGAACCGCAGCTGCCCGTCCTCCTCCGAAGAGGGCACTTGCGACGGCCGCTGCCCGTCGCCGGGGACGGGGGCGGAGGCGGCGAGGACGGAGCTGGACACCCTCCGTCCCGTTGCTGGAACCGGCCCCGGGCCGATCTTGCTGCTGGCCACCTTCTTCCAGAGCAGGCGGCTCATGATGGTGGGTGCAGGGAGCCCCCCGCTGTGAGTCGGGACACCTGGCCTTGGGCTCCAGCTTGACTGCTTTTTTTACTGGCCGAACGACTCAGAGAGAGACCCGTCCCTTCTCTGTGTTCCTGTCTGTGAAATAGGTCTCACCATGCCTGCCTTCCTCACACAAATCCTAAAGGAGATAGATGAGAAAGTGTTATTTCCAAGTTGGCGTTGTCTTGTGACAAACAGCTTATCACTGGTTGAACATTTGCTGCGGGCCTGAGTGCCAGGCATCTTAGCCAAAAAGGGCCAGAGGGGTGTTAGGTACGTTTTCTGGGATGCCTCCAGCCACCTTAGGCACTGGCACTGGCCCTCGTGCGGACAGAGCCACCCACACAGGCTCCTCCGTGAACTTGGAGAAGCCGCTGGAAGATGCTGGACTTAAGGGAGACGCAGACCAGAGTTCTGGCTCTCCAACTGCGTGACCTTGGGCAAGCTCCTTAGGCCCCAACCTCCTCCTCTGGAAAACAGGGTGAAGGTCTCTCCGAGGCGCGGGGCGATGCAGTCTGAGTGGCAGAGGGCGCGCTCCTCGCGCGGCCCTAACCCCAGCCGGCGCTCGGCAGGCAGCAAGCTGCCAGGAGCAAACCGCCGGCGGCCCGAGGGCCTAGCGCCGGGCTTCGAACCCGCCACGAGGGCGGCCACAGCCCCGGGGTCCCCACCCACCCCCGGGCCGGCCCAGGGCGCCCTGCTCGGCGGCCACCCCCGCGCGCCGGGACAGACACCGGGTAGTCGTTGCAGCCGCCGCCAGCGCCAGCGCCAGCGCGGCGCGCCCTGGGACCGACCGCCGCCCTCCTCCGGGGCCGCCGCGTCCCCCCTAACTGGAGCGGGAGCCGCCGCGCCCGGCCTCCCCCTGCCGAGCCCGCTGGAAACCTCGATCCGCTCCGCGCTGCCCGTCCTGCCGCAGCCCACAGCCCTAGTGACGCCGCGGCGCCCGCTCCTCCGAGCGGCCCACGCAGCCTCCGGGTGGCGTGCGGCCTCGCTCGCAGCCGCAACTTCCCGTGTGCGCGAGCCGGGTCCCGCGGCTACCCCGAGGCGAGCGGGCGGGAGACTCCCCGAGGGCCCAATAGGAGCGCCGCCAATGGAGCCGCCCGCCCGCGGGGGTGGGAGAGGGACTTCCGGGTGGGCGCTCCAAGACCTCCCCCCCCTCCGCCTGGGGAAGATGGATCGGTCCGGAGCCAGCCTGCAGGCTCCTTGATGCTTTAAGCAAAGTAAAGGCAGCTGCCAGGCGGCGGCCGCGTGGCCTAATGGATAAGGCGTCTGACTTCGGATCAGAAGATTGCAGGTTCGAGTCCTGCCGCGGTCGGCGGAAGGGTTCCTTATTTTACTCATCCATCTTCCCCATCATTCCCTCAGGAAATGAAGCCAAGCACGCACTGTAGTGAGCCTGACTAACTTCTACTCTAAACACTGGGGACTCTGGGTCTAAACTAACCACTGTGAGGGCGGGGCATGATTCTAAAATGTGGGACGCGTCTTTAAAGTGCGGGCACATATTTCTAAAATGTGGCAGCGGTGGAGAAGCCTGCCCCGGCGGAGAGTGGGACTTACTTAGCACGTGCCTTTCTTCCGAAGTCCAGACTCGTCACCTACCGACGGCGATGACCCGGCTCCAAGTGGAGCCCGGTGTTCCGGCGATGAGGATGACGTTGAGCCCGGTGGATGGTGCCCACCGGGAGCTGTGGTCCCACCCCGGGCACAGCCGACGGGCATCCTCCTCCGGGATCTGCCAGTCTCCGCGTCCGGCGCCTGTTGCTCTCTCTAGGTGTTTCTGCTCCCGGCTCTCAGCGGGCGCGCGAACGCGGCCTGGGTGAATAAGGGCAGAGCCTGGGCATTAAGTCCAGAGCCCCGTACCAGGAAAGGGAGGATCAGATGGTACTGGGGAAGAAATTCCGGCCTCGCTGAAAGGCAGCCCCATCTTCCGGCCGCTGCAGTGGCCAGCACGCTGAGGACTGACGGTCGAAAGGGTCTTTTTCAGAAGTCGGGGCTGCTGCGGCTACTCTACCTTGGCCGACACTCTTACATAGACCCTGTCTCTTTTCTCCTTTTCTGTTTCTTTTCTCGCCTTTCTTTTTTTCTCCTTTATTATTGTTATTATTATTTATTATTGTTGTTGTTGTTGTTATTTTGTAAACGATGAGGCCTCACCCTGTATGCAGCCTAAGCCGGCTTGGAGCTTCCTTCGTCGCCCTGGCTGAGCTCCTGACTCAGTTCTGGGACTGCAAGTGTCCACTATCTGGCCTCCTCTTTCTTTCCAGTTGAGATATTCTTACACGTTTTTCTAGATGTACTTTATAGACACCAAGTGGGTTTTGTTTGTTTCTTATCCGTTCTAGAGACACACACAAATACAACCAACCAGAAAGTCTTTATTTTTGTTTCTTCCTGTTTTTACATAGCTTTGCATAATTGGCCTTCCTATAAAATGATGGAGAGGCTCTTAAACCAGGGAGTCCCCGAGCGGGGGGTAGGGGTAGGGGGTGGGGAGGGGGTGGGGGTGAAACAACTTCATTTTTCATTTCATAGCCCCCTGCTGAAATTACGTTGCTTCGTGTCTGTGAGCTGAGGCAAGCAGCTGCTTTGTCCTTAGCCATACCTGCGGCTTGTCCTCCATGGTGATCACAGACTTTCCATAGCGTTACACTTGCTGCAGATGTTTCAAAACTCTACTTGCTGTCTCAGCAGTGATTGCAAGGAGGCAGCTAAAGCCTGTGAGTTAATGGATCAACAAAACACACATAAGGGTCAGGGTTAGGCCGGAAGTGGTGGGCACATCTTCAATCCCAGCAGAGGCAGTCAGAGGGCTGCCTGGGCTGAGGGAACGGCAGGGAGTGGAGAGCCGCATGCCTTGCAAGCATGAGTATCTATCTCCAAGACCCACATAAAAAGCCTGGTGGTGCCGGCTGTGGGGACGCAGAGAGCCGCAGATCCCTGCCACCCTGATCTAATCAGCAAGCTCTGGGTCCCAGAGAAAGGCCTGCTTTCAAAAAGCAAGATAAACAAGTCCTGAAAAATAACATCCAAGGTTGACCTCTGCCCCCACATTCGCATACCTGTGTGTACGGTTGACATCTGACCCATAGCCACAAAAAAAAAAAAAACGAACACCTTATCAACTGATCGCTCTCTCCAGCCCCAGGCATGCATCAGGTGATCTGGTCTCTCCAGCCTGCAGCTCCCCTGCTGTGCGTATCTGGTGGGGTGCCTGGGGAATTTTCTGTTTGGTTGTTTGGTTTGGAGACAGGATCTTACTAAGCAGCCCTGGCTGGCCTGGAGCTTGCTATGCAGAACAACCAGTTCAGCTCTCTTCACAGAGATCTGCCTACTTGGGTCTTTGAGCCTCTGTAAAATCCACAATAGTGCCAACCTCTCAGAGTTATTAAAAGGATTGATTATGTGGTTACACGATATAATGTTGTAAGGTGTTTAGCCCGGTTCCTTTGGAAATAGTTATCTCCCACCTCTCTCTTTCTCTCTCTCTCTCTCTCTCTCTCTCTCTCTCTCTCTCTGTCTTTCTCTCTGTCTCTCTGTCTCTGTCTCTGTCTCTGTCTCTGTCTCTCTCTGTCTGTCTCTCTCTCTCTCTGTCTGTCTCTCTCTCTCTCTGTCTCTGTCTCTCTGTCTCTGTCTCTCTCTCTCATCCTTTTGCCTCCACCTCCAGAGTGCTGGGATAACAGCCTGAGCTACCACACCTGCTTTATGAAGAAGAAACCCAGGACTTGGTGCATGTTAGGTAAACACTACCAACCGCGCCACATGCTAAGCACCATGGAATAAACCGAGAGTAGCCATGATTTAACGGATTTTCTCCCTTGGCAGAGGTCCTTTCAAAGGCTCAGGAAACAGGCACCAACACAGTCACCAGAAGTCAGCAGAGGTAGGGATGCAGGAAGAGCAGGTTGGGACATGAAGGCTCCTTGGTCAGTGTGGGATGATGTAAAGACTGCCTGGAGGCCGACTCCATTCCAGCTCACGCTTGGGAGCAGATCTGGGGATTCCGGGGTCAGTCGGTAAGTACTGCACAGTGACTTAGTGAGGTACTGTTCTCTCTGGGTTCAAGTCCCAGACAGGCTCTGTCGCTGAACCCATTAGGCGAGCCAGCTAGGCTGACTGGCCAATGATATCCCCAGAGTTCAGATCACAGAAGAGCACCACCATGCCTGGCGTGCCCCGAGTCCTGCGCCCTCAGCTCTGAGGGTTTCAGCAAACAGTCTCGTCTCCCGATCACTCCACCTCCTCATCAGTACAAGAGGGGACAGTTCCTCCCTGGGAGCTTCAGCGGCAGTGACCAGGTGACATCAGAACAGTACAACCTTAGAACAGGAGCCAGCATGCCTGTGGTCAGAGCTGGTCGTCACCACCAGGCTTAGGTCAGGCCCTAGAAAAGAGCTCGGACTGAGACCCGAGTTCAGTCCCTGTGAAGATTCTCAGCCGTGGGGAACTGGGAGGAAATCTTCTCAGATGTCTCCAAACAGAGAGAGCAGGAATGTACTCCCAGCACTTGGGAGGTAAAGGCAGGAGGATCAGGAGTTCAAAGTCATCCACTGCCACAGAATGGACTCAAAGCCAACCCAAGATACACCAGACCCTGCCTCAAAAAAAAAAAGAGAATAAGAAAGGAAAATTGTATGTATGATAAGTAAAAAGGAATTTTCAATCTATGGGAGATATTTATCAAGTTCTTTTAGAAAATACTGGTTAAAGTACATTGTGTACATTTACTTATACCATTGTTTTAATGTAATTAACATATTAATTTTTAAGAGAGAAAAATACATGTACCATAGCTGCTTCCAGCACCCCAGATTATTGGAGAGCCAAGGTAAACGATAAGGGTTATACGAAGGGACCACACTCTGCAAATGTGACCATCTGTGCCCAGCCCCGTCTCCTCCGAGTGCAAAGTACCTCAGTGACATTTAGCCGATGACAAGAAAAAAAGAAAGAAAGGAAGGAAGAGTAAAAAGAAATAAGGGCTCTTTCACCAGCAACAGAAACTCCAGCTCAACCTGGGCTACAAGAGACCCTGTCAAATCCACTCCTCAGCCGGGCGTGGTGGCACCCTTAGTCCCAGCTTGGGAGGCAGAGGCAGGCCGGTGTCTGTGAGTTTGAAGTTAGCCTGGTCTACGTAGTGAGTTCCAAGGACAGTCAGGGCCACATAGTAAAATTCTGTCTTGAAACAACAACAAAAACCTTAAACCACTCCTTCCCCCATGCCCTTCCCTCCCCCCCACAAAAGACAAAAGCAAAAATAGATAAATACGTAAATAAAATCCAGGGGCCAGCAATATGGCTCAGTAGATAAAGGTGCTTGTTGCCAGTGCTGAAAATCTGAGTTGGATCCCCAGGATTCACGTGGTAGAGAGAAAGAGCTATCTCCTGGATGCTCTCCTCTGACCTCCGGGGCACTGTGGCATGTGCACCCACACACAACTAAGTTTTAAAATTTTGAAGGAAGCAATGAACAGCTGGGAGCGGTGGTACAGACCTTTAACCTCAGCACTTGAGTGTCAGAGGCAAACGGAGTTCTGTGAGTTCTAGGCCGGCCTGGGCTACATAGTGAGACCCTGTCTCAAAAAAGGAAGAAAAAACAAAAAAAACCGAAAAACCCTCCAGCTTGAATCCACTAACACAGAAGAGGGTGTTTCCATGGGAACCAGCCTCACAGATGGCAGGAAGGAAGCCTGCTCATGTGGATTGTTCTGACCAAGCTCGACTTTTAGTTTATAAGTTCCGTCCCCAATCCTGAGAACTGAAGCTTGCTCATGTGGATTGTCCTGACCAGCTCGACTTAGTTTATAAGTTCCGTCCCCAATCCTGAGAACTGAGTCAGCCCCAGGAATCAGGAAGAGGCAGACAATTGGTGATAAGAGCGGTAGATATCTCCTCCGTGCACCAGTTCCACTCCAGGAAACTCATAAATGGTCAGGGACCGGTCTCTTCTTCTCAGGAAGCTTCCTTGTCACTCACAATGATACACACACTTCCATCAGCTGCTTTTACCTGCCTTTAACTGCACAAGTGTGGTGCAACCAATTCCC